CACATGCACACACACACACACACACACACACAGATCGTTCATCCTCTGGTTCACACCCCAAATGGCTGCAATGGCCAGGAATGGGCCAGTTGTCTGAAGCCAGGAGCCAGGAGCCAGGAGCTTCCTCTGGGCCTCCCATGTGGGTGCAGGGGCTCAAGAATTTGGGTGATATTCTTCTGTTTTCTCAGGCACATTAGCAGGGAGCTGGATCAGAGGTGAAGCACCTGGGACTGGAACCAGTGCCCATATGGAATGCCAGCACTACAGATGGCTTAACCCGATGTGCCACAGCACTGGCCCCTAGACAGTTTCTTACCTGGACACTATAGACAACATGAGTGTCATATCTTCAGGGGTTCTCTTGTCCCTCAGGTCCCAAGGATGTCAGTGTAGAGTGTATCCAGGTGGAGCACACAGTGAATAATACTGAACTTAGGAAACTCTGATTTATGTAGGGACTCGATATAATATCAAAGACTTGTATCAAGCATAACATTCATGAAGAAACTCTGGCTTTGTTCATAAGAAAACTGGGATAGAGCATGTATGCTCACAATAATTGCTGTTGTTTCCACAAATGTCCCCAGATTATCTAATAAACCCAAGGTGAAACCAACCTAAACTTCAGCTAGAATATGGGAGAATAAGTGTGCATATATATACACCAAATATGTTTTTATTTATTTATTTATTTATTTGAAAGGTGGAGGTTGGAGTTGGAGAGGAGAGCGATAACTTCCATCTGCTGTTCACACCACAAATGCCCACAACAGCTGGAACTGAGCCAGGCTGAAGTCAGGAGCCAGGAACTCAATCTGGGTCTCCCATGTGAGTGGCAGAGACCCAAGTACTTGAGCCAACATCTTGCCTCTCTGGGTGTGCTTTAGCGGGAAGCTGTATATGGATGGAGCAGGGTCTTGTACCTAGCAAAGAAGTGGAAACACCTAAGTCTCCATCAGCTGTTGAATGGATAAAGAAAATGTGGTATATATTAACAATTGAATATTATCAGCCATAAGAGATGACCTTTTGCAATAGCACTGATGGAACTGGACATCATTATGTTGAATGAAATAAGCCAGGCACAGAGAGATCTATACCATATGACTCACTAATACATGGAACCAAAAAGTTGATCTCAGAAGTTGAGAAGGTGGTGCTGGTTATTAGAAGCTGGAAGGAGTAGCAGAGATGTGTGGGGAAAGGTTATTTAATAAGCACTGAGTTTTGGGTAGATAGAAGTAAGAAGTTCCAGGGTTCTGTTGCACAGTGAGGTGACTATAGACAATGTACTGTGTATTTCTCTATCAAAAAATTAAAAGATAGAATTTTAAATCTTTTCACCAAAAAGAAACGTTTAATCTTTGAGGGGATAGATATGAACACCCTGAGTGGACATTACACAGAGCATACATGTGCATGCATACGTATCACATGGTATCCTATAAATGTGTATAATTTTAAGATTACTAATTAAAAATTATACTAAAAAAGTAAGTGTATAAGATAAAACTGTGATGATAGAAGGGGGAGAGAATATCTTTATACCTCAATGGGGACCTATATCTTAATATCCCAAGAGCACAAATAACAAAACTTTTTTTTAAAAAAATGCACTTTTATGACATCCAAATTACTTGATTTTTTTGTTTTCTCAAAGAAGGGCACCAGTCGAGAGGTAACTGACGGTGATGTATTGGTAGATGATATTCCCTGTGACTGAAAGAGGCACAAATCATTGCTGCAAATCAACAAGGCCGGAGTCCCAGGGAAAGCATACATAAAGAGATGCTCAAACTCTTAGTGATAAGAGAAACTCAAAAAGGTGATGAGATATCTCTTCATGCTGTTGAGATTGGCAAAGGAATTCTGACTTTTGGAGAGTGCCAGATATTAGGGACACCCAACCACAGGAACTCTGTTTTTTAAAGATTTATTTATTTGAAAGGCAGAGTGACAAAGACCAAGAGGGAGAGAATAACATAGATAGACAGATAAATATATAGATAGATAGATAGATAGATAGATGATAAATATCTTCCATTCATTGATTCATTGGCTAAAGCCAGTAACCAGGAGTTCTGTCTTGGTCTCCCACATGCATGGCAGAGCCCCAAATACTTGGACCATCATTTACTGTTACCCAGGTGCATTAGCAAGGAGATAGATAGTAAGTAGAGTAGCTGAGACTCCTACTGGTGCTCTGATACGGGATGCAAACAACACAAGGAGAAGCTTAACCCAGTGTGCCACAACACTGGCCCTCCACAGGAATTCTTGCTTGCTGGTAACAGTGTGCCCTACCACCAGCCGCTCTAAAGGCCAACTTGAAAGTACTTCATGAAACCAAGAATGCATATTCCCTGTGATTGAGTATGCCACTTCTACCCTTGGAAAACTCTCCTTCAGGACTATAAGGGAAAAGGATAAGGATGTTCATCACAGTATTGTTTGGGTGGTGGAGAGTTACAGACAATGTAAATTTCTATTACTCAAGGGAGGAAGAAGTCAAGTATGTTGGGCACACAATGTGAAATGTTCAGCACCAAAGAATCCCAGAGGACTGGATGAACACTCAGCAACATGTCTAGTTCCTAAGAACAGTATTGGAAGAGAAAACTTAGACACAGTAAAATCCATACACTATAGTAAATCTGTAGTGCAACATCACATATCCACGAAAAATAAACTTGCACACAAACCTTTCTACGTATTCAAGTTCAAAGTTATATATCTGACATATTAGAAAAGTTGTCCTTAGGGTAGGGTAGTGGGAATGAGGAATGAAGATAAAACAAACTAAATAAAATGATAGAGCAGTCTTGTATGTTTTGGTTATGTGTCATGAACTCATGGATTATGATTAACTGAACCCTTTGCATACGAAGTTAAATCCAAAGAGATTGATAAACCTGCAATGATTGGGAAATCTTCAATATTTCCAAATCAGTGAAGGTCAGCTCTGAGTGTGTCAGGTACACAACTGCTCATCTTGCAACAAGACCTTCCTTCCTCGTAGCCGCTGACAACATGGGCTGCAGACCGACATTGCAAACGCTGCTTCTGAGCTTGCACCTCCTCCTCAATTTGTTCAGCATCCAGTGCTGCCCTTATGAGTTACAACAAAACATTATGTTCTATCCAATCATCTAGAAAATTTATATTCATAAGCGATCACGTACCAAAACGAGCTTTTAACATAGTGTATAGACAAGTTTTCTCTTTCTGCCAGAATGATTTTTTTCAAAAGGAGCTATTAGTGTTTTTTTTTCTCTGAAATAGCAGAATTTAAATGTGTTCTCCCAAAAATATCCGGAGCATTTATTTATTTAGCTTAAAGATTTATTTATTTGAAAGGCAGAGTTACAGAGAGAAAGAACAGTACACACACACACACACAGAGAGAGAGAGAGAGAGATCTTTCATTGGCTGGGCCTGGTGAAAGCCAAGAGCCTGGAACTTCTTTCAGGACTCCTGTGTTGGTGGCAGGCACCCAAGCACATGGGCCATCTTCCACTGCTTTCCCTGGTGCATTAGCAGTGAGCTGCATCAGAAGTGGAGCAGCTGAGACGTGAACCAGAGCTTATAAGGGATGCCAACATTGCAGGTGGCAGCTTAACCCATTGTGCCACAATGCCTGTCCCAGATCTGGAGAACTTTTATGTGAGGTAAGATTAAGGAGTCCATATTTAGGGGTGGACATTGTGACACATGGGTTAAGCTACCATTTGGGAGGCCTGCATTCCATATCAGAGGACTCCTTTTGGACAGAAATTATACTTATTATGCCTGTATTCTTAGCAGGTAGTAAGAAGCCCAACACATTACAGTATCTCAGGAATCCTGAGCAGCAGACCATAAAATCACCCATCTTAAAGACAAACTGAGGTATGTGTACTTGACCAAAGGTGCACAGTTAATCAGTGTTAGAAACAGGAGCTAGTCCATTTGTTTTGAATTCTGAACCTGAGATTTGTATGTGTTTGTTTTTGGCAGATGTCTGCTCATTCGTCATACCACTTTGGGAGAGTGGGGGTGGATTTCTAGCAACCTCTATTATTGGCTTGTTTTCTCGATGCCCATCAACCTATCCTGGATCAACATGAGCAGGCAGTAGAACTGATATCTTTGATTTTATTTTTTTAATTTTATTCCTAAAAATATTGTGTTCATGTTGAAATCTTCCTGCCAACTATAAGAAGACTCCCCACCAACTCCATCAACTCACACCTAGCTCACTCCCCTACATTTTATTTTCTTCAGGCAATTTAGTCCTGTATAAACGTATTTGTTCATTTTCTGGGTGTTCCCAAGAATGGCAGCCTGGCTGTATCCTCACTGCACCACTTGGCACACAGTAGAGACCCCCAGTAATGATTTATTTAAATGTATATGGACTTTAAACAATACCTTCCACTCACTGAGTGCTTCATGCATGACCTCATTCCTATTCCTCTTTATATCCTTAAAGCATTCCAGCAAGGGGGCTCTCCCACCTCTCTTTGGAGCTCCCTGCCATTATGTAAACAGCTTGAGAACGTATTGCTGGGTTTCAACCCAGACGGCTCTTACCTTTGCTCTGTAGCTGCTGTGCTCAGCGTTTACAATGTCATCTACCCGTAGTTTTCTAAAGTCAAAGCAAAGCCAGGCAGCTTGCCTAGTGGTTAACAGGAGGGTCAAAAACTAAAGTGAACTAAATTGAGATTCTGGCTCCCTTTCTTTGGGGGCATTTATCCATATAATCATTAGTATCAGGCAGTAGCAGCCTTGTATCAAGTGTAGAGAACCTGGTTCCCAGGCTGCTGAGTGTCGTGCAAGTGCCAAACTTGTCTAATCACCAGAGCCACCTTCCCGGCTTCTTCTCTCCATGTAGAGCCTGTAGCCAAGGGCAGCCTCCTGTGTCTGCCACACCCCTCCTTGGCCTCTTCTCTCCAAGCAGCCTGGGGTAGATGACCTAGAGCAGGACCAGTGCTGCCCTGGCCCAGTGCGTCAAGACAACTCCCACTGTGGGTGTTACTGTGCCGGTATACCGAGCAGGAGACACCCTTTGCAACTCCTCCCTAACACCAGGTTAAAATCCTCAGCCCCACGTGCAGGTTGCAAACCTGCCTGTGACTGACGCCTAGAGCTAGAGAGCTTGCTTTCCTGGAGTCAGCATGTCGGCTGTGGTCCTAGAAAATGGAGGCTTAAGCAGGAAATTCTCTGACTTTGGACAGGTGAGTTAGGATGGGCCTTATCTGATGATGCTGGAAGTTTGGCTCCCTTGGAGAGGAGGGGGAGAAGTGGCTGGGGATTGCTGGTATTTCCTAATTTTGTAAGCTCACTAAGAAGTCTAATTCCTTCCGAGATGATGAGAATATCCAGAAATCCAACAAACAAACCATGCCCTCAACAATTGCTTCCAAGTGGGAGAACGTCTGTCCTATGTAGTTTTCAGGGTCAGGGGTTCTGCTTTACGTTTGGGGATCTGGCTTCCAGAATTACTATCAACTAGCTGTGTGTCTTTGGATAAGTCACTGTCTCTCTCTGTTGCCTTCTTTCTCTTCTTTAATGGACTTTAATGCTCTGGAGCAGGATACGGGTCCTTCTAGATCTCTTCAGTGATGTTTAGAAAGTGCCCTCAACCAAGGTATCGAAATGGCAAAATTGTGAGAAACTGTGTCTTCCTTTCCCTCTGGGGAGAAGATGAGATGTAAAGAAGACTGGGAGATTAACTCAGATGTAGGGAGGGAGAGGCTAAGTGGAGAGGTCAATGAGCAAGAGTAAGTCCTGAGCATGAGATGTGGAAGGACTCTAATGGTGACTTGGGGATATGTATTCCATTCTCCAGGATTTGTTGTCATGCTCGTGAGGGGAACAATTGCAGGATGCATTCTCTCATTTGATGCAAATACTCACTGGGTCAGGAAATGATTCTTCTTGGGCTCATATTCTCATGTACAGCCCAGACCTGGGGAAGATAAAGGGAGCCTGGAAGGTTAGGGAGAATGATCCTCTTTAGACAGCAATACTCTATTGAAGAGGAGGACAGTGCTTATATTGAAGTTAGTGTCTCTGGAGCAACTGCAAATCTTTGGTCTGGCTTTTCTTGGTTCCTAAGGGAAGGATTTCCCATGAAGATGGTATATGGCACCAAGGCAAATGTGTTGAATGGGGATGGAGTAAGAATCAGACCCCAGAACAGAGGCTGGCTCCAGCCACCATTTACTTCAGTGTTGCTGGCAGTAGGGTCCTTACAACTATGAGAAGCAACCAGGGCAAGCAATCTGGTTAGGGACCCATGGGGCTTAAAACTTTACTTGTAGAGCATTTGGGATATTGAGAGTACCCAAATTGCCACTACCAGTGACTGGGGCTCTGGTGAAGAGAAGTATTTCAGGCATGGATTGGGACCAGGTCTGCATCGAAAGCCAGAGACTGAACTTTGCAGAGCCTCAGCTTATTTGTTTGACAAAAAATGGGAATAAAAATGCCTCCACCCTGGGGTTCCCAGGAGAATTAAATGAAATCACACCTGTAAAACACTTAGAACAGTTCCTGGAACACAGGAAAGTGCTCATGTGTGTCTAGCCAGAACAGATATGTTTATTTAACAAAATGCACCTTGCACCCTGACAGGAAGAAACAGCAATGAGTCAGGCACCTTGGCTGGTGCAGCCTAATCATGGAGAGTATACGGGACATGGAGCCAGGAGCCCTGGGTTCTTGCTTTGGGTTTCCTTAAGCTATGTGTTGGGGAGTGCTCAACAGGGGTGAGGAGGCTCAGGAAAATCAAGAGGGAGGGAATTGGACTAGATCAGTCTATAGGACTGCAAGAGACAGAATTGATATCTTAATGCTTCCAGCCCAGATAAGCAGCCCACACTGGCATGGTTTTGTTATAAGGCTGTGGGAGAGAGCCACCGTTGGTGATGGCATACACTATGTCAAGTGCTTTATACATGCACATACACAATAGTCATTTAAGAAAGATTTGGCTCATAAACCCCAAGAAGGCTAAATGAGCATTTTCTGGTGCCAAGCACAGTAGAATTTAAAAACTCACAATATAAATACATACGTTTATAGAGATAAGTGCTGTGAAGAAGACTAAAGTCATGGGGATTTGGGGCAAAGAGAATGCAGCAATCAGAGTTAAGAGCAGGGAAGCCAGTGTTTAAACCTAGATCTGACTCCAAGCACTGTGTACACTTCTCTCCTGCAATGCTGCTTTCTATGGAAGACTGCTGAAATGTAGAGGCATAGACTGTTTTCAATAGTCTGCCCTGTAGACATGTGTATGCAAAGGCAAAATTGCATGCAAATACAGACCTCCAACTGTGGTCCCCAAAGGCACTAAGATTGACAAATAGCACCTGTAGAATATTATCGCCAAAGCATATTGCTTGTGAATTTGAAAAGTGATCGTTTTCAAAAATGCCAAATTCATTCAGAATACAGAATGAATTTGGTATATACAGCCAAAGGGAATATATTTCTCCTACTGAATGTATTGCTTGAGGATCAAAATTCTTTCCTTCCTAGCTCTTAGGAAAGTTTTTTTCCCTGCCCCATTTCTTTGTATACCATTTCTGAGTTGTTTTTCTCTACCTCTTAACCCTCCTGTGCATACCTGTGTTTGTAAGTCAACTCACATATCTGTTAGAAACGAATACAAGTGTATTCTCAAGAGGATTTTCTGTGGGGTCTGTGATTGACTGGATCAATACAGCAGTGTTAGAATTGAATACAAGTCCACCCACGGCCACACTGTTGCATAGACTTCCATGAACTTGCTTCCATTTAAAAACCCTAAAACTGAAAAGAAGGAGCTGTTGACCCAGTTGAGTTTGTCACCAAGAGACAGAATAGGCTTTTGAGTAGTACTGAGTTTAAGGCCGGGGTCTACTATGTATTAGCTGGATGTCCTTGGACCAGCCACTTAACCTTGCTTAGTCTATTTCCCTATTTGCAAAAATAACAGCACCTACCTCATGGGGACTATTGTGAAAACTAACGGAGCTGTTCTATGCAAAGTGTTAAAATTGCTAGTTGCTCTGCATAATGATGCTTATTGACTGTGAAAAGTACCAGGTTCAGCCCCTGGGAAATAGTGGGCAGTCACTGGTGATGATATTAATAACAATAAAGAGTAGCCTTACTCAAAGTCCCCCCCCCTTCCTTCCTTCCTCCCTCCCTCCCTTCCTCTCTCTCTCTCTCTCTCCCTCTCTCTCTCCTCTCTCTATTTCAAGTATGTTTAACAGTAGTTTCAAAATTTTCCATGGCTAAGAAGCATCCAGAATGTTTTTCAAATGCAGATTTTAAGACTCTCCTCCATCTATTTTGATTTGTTAAGTTTGAATTAGGCCCAGGAAACTACTTGGCAACAAGGAAACCCCAGGTAATTTTGGAATGAGAGCTGAGGAACACTTACCGAGAAACACTGATTTAGAAAGTGTAAGGGGATTGGTATCGGCAACACACTGGCTGTCAGGAGTGATGTTGAGTAACTGTCTTACTTTGCAAGACAACATGATCCAAATAGGGACAGACACATACAATACTTCAATATTCTAATTCACTGGGACTCCCTCTATTCACACTCATTGAAAAGTTTGGCCCTTCCACTCTATCCTTGTTTCATGTGAGATACTAGGACTGAATTTTCTGATTTGAAAGAATTTTGGCCTGGGAGTCATTAGGATTCATGCAAAGTTATCATTGCAAGTCACTGACGAGAGTTTGCCCAGCACAGTCTTCTCTCATTGAGATGATGTCACATCCATTCTGTTAATTCCTTACCTCACTTACAAAGGAGTTATTATTCTGCACATTTTTTGTCTTCCCAGTTTTTAGGTACATCCTGTATATTGGTGGGCACACATAGAATAAATTTTATTATTGTAAAATGTAAGCAAATGGTTTGGCAAGTTCTGGCATTTCAACTCCATTCCCGCCTCAGTTTTATTATGAATGCATTTAAGTATGAGTTCTTTGCTATCTAGTTTGAGGCATCATCTTCTGATAGTTCCTTTTTGTACTGTTTTTTAGAAAAAAGATTTTATTTGAAATGCAGAATGACAGGGAGAGAGAAAGATCTTCCCTCTGGTTCACTTCTCAAATGGCTGCAACAGCAGATCCTGGGACAGGCTGAAGGCAGGAGCCAGGACCCCATCCAGGCCTCCCATGCAGGTGGAAGGGATCCAGGTGCCTGAGCTGTTACCTGCTGCTTCTCAAGTGCACTGGCAGGAACCTAGAACAGAAATGAAGTGGCTTGGACTTGAACCAGCATTCTGATACAGATGTGACATCTCAAGCAGCACTTAACCCACTTCACCACAACACCTGCCCCCATTTTTGTACTTTTGTGTATTTTGTGCCTCTTTGTCTACAATTAGACATCTCCACTCCCAGTGTATGGAAACAAGTTAATGTCTTCTGATATCTTTGCTAAAGGTTAAGAGGTCATTCATGTATAACTCCAATATTTCCACCACTTTACATACTTCCTTTAAACTTATCTTTATATTTTTTCTTCACCTGAATACTGTACCAAGTGGGTTTGTTATTAACATGATTTTACAGATGAGAACACTAACAAGGTGAGATGGTTTGCACAAAGTTGTCCAGCTGGTAAATCAAAGACAGAGAAGTCCAGGCCAGCTCTTTGTACTTAAAAGCCTGTGTATGTCCTGTTTTTCTCAGTATTCATACTCTATTTCCTGATGTTTCCCTGGGATATTGTTGAAATCACCTCAAAAAATATTTTTTTGTGTGTTGAATCAGATTATGAGCTCTTAAAGCCTGGGGCATTGTGTTCCTCATCTTTGTGTGTCTCTGAGCCTTGAACTTAGTAGATGTTCATTAAAAATTACAAAAATGTATAAGGTTGACTGGTGACATCAGTAAATAACTGAAATTTCCCCACCTTGAAAGCTGAGCCTGCAGCCTCACTGATCACTTTATTGCCCTGGACTTTATTTCCCATTGTATTGTATACTTCTGAGTAGCTTATATGTAGCTCATTGTACTCCCAGACTGGCCACAAGAAAGATGTAATGCTTGTCTCTCCCAGGGAAGTATCAGGGAAATGAGTTGTTAAGCTGTGGAAAACATTGTAACTAAGTGCCTGTAACCCTGTAGGAAACAAGCTATATTGAAGACAACTCTAATGAAAATAGTGCCATATCACTGATCTTCTCCCTCAAAGAGGAAGTGGGTGCATTGGCCAAAGTCTTGCGCTTATTTGAGGTAAGTGCTTTATTCATATTTGTCCTGGATAATGACATAGTAAATATCTGTGACATTTATTAGTTAGATGCAATGAAAATAAGAGAGGAACTGGAATTGAGAGATGTGACTTTCAGCCCAGACTCTCACATTAATCAACTGTGTGACCTTGGTAAATGGTTCAATCTGAGCTCAGTTTCTACATTTATAATGTGGTCCTGGTATTATGGATCGTGTTAGCTTCAACAGGGATTTTGTGATGAAATAACATGTTTTTTAAAAATTTCAAGACAGGCATGTTTCATATCATCATAGTTAAAGACTAGACAAAAATGAAATGAAAAAGCCATTAATTCTTCCAGTCATTAAATTAATATTATCTAGGCATTAGATAATGAATAAATAATAAATTAGATACCATCTCTTCTTTCAAACAGCTTCACTTCCAGCTGTATTCTAGAAAACAGTTAATACTGTTTATAAAGAACAAATTGTAGTTGTTTTTATGTATTTGAAAGGCAGAGAGATAGAGAGAGAGAGTGTGAGAGTGGCATCAGGACAGATAGGAATAGATCTTTCATCTCCCAGTTCAATTTCCAAATACCCACAACAGCTAGAGCAAATGGCCAGACTGATGCTTGGAACTCAATGAGTTTCCCCCATGGGTGGCAGGGACCAAGTACTTGAACAATTACTGTTACTTTCCAGGTGTACCTCGTCAGGCAGCTGGAGTCAGCAGCAGAGCTGGGACAGGAACTCTTTCAATGTGATATGGGATGTAGGCTTCTCATGCAGCATTTTTTTAAAAAAAGATTTGTTTTATTTATTTGAAAGATAGAGTCACAGAGAGAGGTAGGAACAGTGAGAGAGGTGTCTTCCATCTGCTAGTTTACTTCCCAAATGGCCACAATGGCCAGAGCTGAACTGAGCCAATCCAAAGCCAGGAGCTAGGAGCTTCTTCTGGATCTCCTATGTGGGTCCAGGGGCCTAAGGACTTGGGCCATCCTCTGCTGCTTTTACAGACACATTAGCAGGGAGCTGGGTCGGAAGTGGTGTAGCCACAACTCAAACCCGCACCCAAAAGGGGTGCCAGTGCTGCAGGCCAGGGCTTTAACCCACTGTGCCACTGTACCAGCTCCCCAAGCAGCATCTTAAGGGCTGTTCCAAATGCCTGCCCTGACAGGGACTACCTTGAAGACACTGATAATTGTTTCATAATTTAAAGGATTGCGTGATCAATATGTTAGGAAAATCATTTTATCTTATTTCTTTATTTGTAGGACTTTCAGTTTATAAAGCAATTAATGTATGCTAGATGATGCTAATCAGGAAATGTATGTATTATTTCCTAAGTTTATTTGACTTTGGACCCTTCTCATTCTATGAACATTTATTAATATTTTGGAACAAAGTTTAGGAAATGTTGGTTTGGACTTTAGCTAAGCACCCAAACTCCACATAGCTGCTTCAAATAGGTTTCCTAATCCATATTCCTTCCAAATACTTGGGTAAGGTTTTAGCTGAGACATTTCCTACTTGAGGATGCATTATTTTATAATTGTTATTTTTTGTGTGAACTCTCCAGCTGATTGGGAACAAGAGTTATCACGTTGGCCAGGCCTGTAATTAATGCTCAATGTGAGTTCAGTTATGCAATTAACAAATCTTTTCTAATCTCTTTGGGGAAAAGGGCAGCCCTCATGAAAATATTCAGTGTTCTCAGGACTGGACGTGTGGGGATATGCAGAAGTGCTAAGAAGAGAAGCAGCCTCCTTTAGGGTCTAGCAGACGTCTGGCTAGCTGTGGGGCGGGGTAGAGCATGGGCAGGTCTCAGTGATGGTGGCTTTACAAACATGATCTCACTGAATCTTATAGAAATAGCATGAGGTAGGAGCTGCTTCTATTTTTTTCAGAGCAAGAAACTGAAGTTCAGTGAGATCAGGTAATTGCCCAGTTCACACAGCTTGTGAGACCTTCCCAAAGGTACATGGGTATGCTCGATTAGTATTACTTAATTGATGGAGACACAGAAGTTCAGGTAAGCAGCTGCCTTAGGCTAGAACTAAAAATTGCTTCAGAATTCACCTTTCACGTTCATGTTAACCATAAACAAATAGAAAAGGCATTTCCTGGGCTGGCACTGTGGCATAGCTGGTTAAGCTGCCGCATCCTATTTTGGCACTCGTTCAAGTTCCGGTTGCTCCACTTTCAATCCGGCTCCCTACTAATGTGCCCGGGAAACCAGCAGAAGATGGCCCAAATGCTTGGGCCCCTTTACCCACATGGGAGACCTGGATGAAGCTCCTGCTTCCTGGCATTAGTCTAGCCTAGCCCTGGCTGTTGCAGCCAGTTGGGGAGTAAACCAGCAGATGAAAACTTGTCTGCATCTCTCTCTCTCTCTGTAACTCTGCCTTTCAAATAAAAAGGCACTGTCTATGTTAGTCACATCCACTTCTTGTGCCCTAGCCTTGCCCGGAGAATCCATTCTCTCTCGTCAGATATTCAATGATGTCATACTCTCTCATGTATACATTCAGTTAATATTTTTGGTGTCTACTGATGTCAGACCCTGTAGGGATGGTGGGTACATGGGAGTGAGCTAGACATCACTTCTTCCACTATAAAACTTGCAGACTAGCTTACTAGGTGATGACAACAGAGTATACAACAAGTGTTATGAGGAACTGAAGCTTCCATGACCATTCTTAACCCAAACATGAGGCAGCAGAGGGCAGGGAGATTTCTTGGAGATACAACTTTAAAGCTGAAATCAGAAGGAGTTGACCAGGGGGACAGAAGATGAGATAGATAAATTCTCAAATGAAGGAACAGCTGCCTCAAGGTAAGAGAGAATAAATAAGTGGGCAGAAGATGGAACCCTTGAATGCCATACCATCTGCCAACCTCAGGATTCCTGGAGGCAGAGGCTGGGTGGAAGAGGCAGACAAATTATATTTATCAATCTAATGTTTGAACTTCAAAGACTTACCAGTGATCTCTGGGCCTGATGTGGTACACTGGATCAAGAATGAATCACTAGGGTTGCTTTCAATCTCAGGTCTTGGGTCCAGAGCAGGTATGAGCAGTAAAATATTCACTGGGAACATTTTTTGTTTAATCAAAATAAACAGTCTGAGTTATGGAGGAAAAAAAACTGTTTCTTATAGCCTAGATGATGTTTTTATTTTATTCAAACCCTAACATATAGGTAATGATATAACAATATGTAAATGATTCATTTCCTGCTTAAGAAACAAAGCATTGCTGAAATGACTAACGTCCCCAGGTAACCTGTCCCCCTGTGCCTTCCTACTCAGCAGTGGCTATTAATCAGAATTAGATATATATTACTCCTGTGTATCTTTTTATGCTTTTCTTTATATAGTATCCATCAGTGATACATGGTGTAGTTTTGCAACCTTTCAATTTTCATGATTTTGGCATCATATTGTAACTGTTGTTCAGTGTTCTGTTTTGGGGAGAGGGTGGTGAGCATTGTTTTGAGATTTGTCTGTGTGGGTATACATATTTCTTGCTTGCTCATTTTCCCCTTTCTATATTTCACTGTGTAATTATATTTCATACATTTCCTGTTAATGGGCATTTGAGTTGTTTCTGTTGTTTATTCCTTATAAACAGTGTTTCACTAAACATTCTGCACAGGTCTGTGACTTTTGATTGAATAGAAGAATCTAATTTTAGATGCTAAGTGGGCCTTTTTGAGAACCAGCAGCAAATAACTTGCATTTTAGGCTTTCATGATGTTTGATCACTTGTTGTGAGAGCTTGTGCAACCAAAGGCAAAGTCCTAGCTTTCAGTAGCATTTGGATGGATTGCTGTGGCCTATTAGTGGCACTAGAGTTGTGATTGCTCATTGGTAGCCTGAGACAATCTCATCATGGATGAAAGGGATCACAAAGGAGAACCTTCTAAGAGGAAGCAAGTCTGGGATCCCAAAGGTTGCTCCCTGCGATGAGAATGGCCCTGAAGATCCAGGCTGAGCCTTTCCAGGATCTGTTTCTCCACAGCACAGTGGGGGATGCTCAGGGATCCCTGTGGAATTTAATGGTGCTCCTCATGCTTTGCTGGCTATTTAATCCCAGTGAGTTTAACTTCTAGGCTCTCAACCAACCAGAACTGTGGCTGGCATTCTCACAAGAGATTAGTGAAATATCTAAGAAGTTTGGGAGTGCAGTGGAGGATGGCCCAGGCCCTTGGGCCCTGCACCTGCATGGGAGACCAGGAGAAGGCACCTGGCTCCTGGCTTCGGATCAGCGCAGCGCGCTGGCCGCAACGCACCAGCCATAGCGGCCACTTGGAGGGTGAACCAATGAAAAAAGGAAGACCTTTCTCTCTCTCTCTCTCTCTCTCTCTCTCTCTCTCTCTAACTCTGCCTGTCAAAAAAAAAATCTAAGAAGTTCTGTCTACACCTCTGTGAGGCTGCTCCTTCTATCTTTGTAACCATCACTTCCTTCCCCAAATATGGTGGTCAGCTTCCGATTGTTGTGCTCTTGCTCCACTACAGTCTGTTCTCGAAATGGTGGCCAGGGTGTTACTTTTGAAACATGAATCAAGCGATCTCTCTCCTCTTCCTAATTAACTCCCCTAGCTTTTGTATCAGTTGGAGTGAAAACCCAAGGTTCAGGTTCCGGCTAACATGGTCTTCCATGACCTAATCCTGATTATTTCTCAGCATCATGTCCTGTTACTCACTGTGCCCTGGTCCTAGTGTCCTTGATGGTTCTCAGTCACACTGCACTACCTCAGCACTCTTGTATGTGCTGTCCCTGCAAGGCTTTCTCCTTGTTCTCTGCTTTACACAAGACAGGAGCTGCTGATCTCTTCTTTTGGAGTTTCAACATAGGTAAATAGTGGATGGAACCTACCCATTCCCTTTCTTCCTGAGCCAAGAAGGATGACACTGCTCTTTGTGTTGTTTAGGAAGTAAGCTCTGTTTGTCAGAGAGCTCCAGGGCCATCTCTCTCTCTCTTTCTCTCTCTCTGGCCTTCTGTCTTCCACTTTTCTCCCTCCAGTTGGCCCCTCTGCAGTGTTACCTGGCCACAGCTGTCAGGTGTGTTCTCAGGTCCAAAATAATGGCTGCACCATGTGCCCTTGGGGATGATGAGCAAGAACCAGCAAGAATAGAGCCTATTTGAAGTAACTTAACATTGTGTTTATTATATCCAGAAGTTTTTTTTTTTTAGTTGAAAAATAATACCAGTGATAAAAGTTGGCATTTGTGGAGGGGTTCACTGTATGTCTGGCATGTAAGGCAATGTGGTTAGAAGACCAACAACTCTAAGATTAGAAAAAATAGATCTTTCTCTCATCCTCTATGGCAAAGAACTTCATCTCTGATTTATTTTTATTTTTAAAGATTATTTATTTATTTTAAAGGCAGAGAGGAGAGATTGAGAGAGAACAAGAAAGAGAGAGAGAGAGAGAGAGAGAGAGAGAGAGAGAGAATCCCTTCCACTGTCTTAGCCTCCAAATGCCCATTTGAGGGTGAGTCAGGCCAAAGCTAGGAGCTAGGGATTTGATCATAGTCTCCCATGTAGGTGGTGGGGACACAGCTATTTGAGACATTGCATGCTGCCCCCCTGGGTGCCCATTAGCAGGGACCTGGAATGGAGAGTGCAGCTGGGCCTCAATCCAGGAACTCCAACATGGTATGTGGATCTCCCAAGCTGCAGCCTAACTGCTGTGTTAAATGCCTGCCTCTCGTTTTATTTTCTATGTATTCCTTACCTTCTTCAAAGGATGGTGAGGAAGGTCACAGAAAATAATTCTAAGCTGTAAAGGGATATTCAAATGTGGAAAAGTATCATTATTATAACTATACACATTCTCTTCAATTATCAACAATAAAGTAAAAAGATATGTGCATACCTCTCAACAGTAAGATTAGTGAATTTTACTTTTTGGAATTTTAGTTATCTAAAATAATTTCAGGATATCTAAAATAGTTATCTAAAATAATTTCAGTTATCTAAACTATTTTCAGGATACTTTTTGTTCATTTATTTTTGTCATCTTTATTTTATTTATTTTTCTTTATATTTGAAAGGCAGAGAGACAGAAAGAAAGAGAGGTGGAGAGATCTTTCACCTGCTGGCTTATTCCTCAAATGCCCCCGCATCAGCCAGGCCTGGGGAAGGCTGCAAATAGGAACCAAGAACTCAGTCCAGGTCCCACACATGGGCATCAGGGACCCAAGGACTTGAGCCATGACCTGCTGCCTCCAAGGATGCATGACAGTAGGAATCAGGATCAGAATTGGAATAGCTGGGACTCAAATCAGGCACCCTAATATAGAATGCAAGTATCAAAAGTTTAGAAGATGAGCCAAAAGATTTCCCCCTTATTGTCTATTTAACAGTAAGGAAACTCGTATTCACTTATTGTGATAAAGGTAGACAGTACTTCTTGGTTTTCTTCATAATGAACAGTGCTACCAGTGAAATCACCAACTTTCTGAATAAGTAGCAGATGACTTGCTGAGCATTTAAATTTGAAGAGTAATTTACGTAAATGACTCCTTTTTCTTTTTGGTGACTAAAAACACTAAGAGTTAAATATCACCTTCAGATGCCTTTGGAGTTTGTTATGGTAAGTAATCATTAGTTCTTTTCCCCATTTTGATGGCTCTTTGTAAATTCATCTTTACATTACTGTAGTACCTAGATTGGCCCATGATATTTGATTTAAGGAAGAGATTCTCTAGGGAGATTTGAGGGCTTCTGTTGGCGCCCTGTTCTTCCTTCTGGGTTTCTGAGAACATTTTCATCTGGTCTCATAGTGAATCACAGTTATAGCCAATCTGAAGGTGATATGGGAAATGTGGACTTTTCCCCATTTTCTTCTCTACAAACCTTTCTCCTGTCCCTTGAGAGTTTTGAGCCTTTTGAGGTTATATAAGCTAAAAGAATCACCTCCCCTCACCACCTCCAACCTCACCCACTGTGGGTACAGCCAACATCACATCCCACCTGTGTCTCATCAATGGCATCAGGCCAGTCTTGACAGATCTCTTGTGTTCCTCAGTCAGTTCTCAATGTGGAAATCAGATGTATCATTTCAAGCATATGAGATCATATTTATTTCTTTTATTGAAAATTTATAAAGACCCTCATTTTTTTCAGAATCAGACACATATTCCATCAAATGACCTGCAATATTCTCTATGATTGGCCTCCTCTCTTGGTTATTTGGATCTCGTTTCCTACTATTTCCTCCTTAACTTCCTCTGTTCTGCTCATTCTGATTTCGTGGTTGCCCCTTCAGCAGACCAGGCATCCTTTGGGCCCTCGCCTGCCTCAACTCCTTCAGTACATAGGTCTTGTCTTCCCAGTGAGGTTGCTTGTGTCCACTCTATTTAATATTGCTATCCGCCCTCACCTAATCTCATCAATGCCCATCCTCTTCACCCTGTTCTGCCTTGTAGTTCTTTCCTTAGTCCTAACCATTGTAGAAGAATATGTGAATTACTTATCTTCTGTGTCTGTTGTTGATAGACTCTACTTGAATGCAGTCTTCTTAAGGAGAATCATCTCTCTGCTTTGTTTGCTGATGGGAATCTCAAGCACTGAAAGGGCAATTCGCACCTTATGGGTGCTACAATAGCTGTTTCTGTTAAAGAACTTGAATGAAAAATAATTGAATAAAATGTTAATGGTAATTATGTTAGATAATTTTGCCATTTGCCAAGCAGTATGTATCATCTTAACCAATACTCCCAACAAACTTACAAATCAAGTATCATTAAGACCACTGAATTACAGATAGTGAAATTTAGGATTAGAAACATGAAAGTACATTGTCTTGGGTCTAATTGTTGATATAATTTAGAACTTAGGTAAGCCCAATAAATGTGACTCCTATGAACTTTATTCAAGAATAGTGTTGCTTCCATACTCTTTATTTATGGATGTTCTACAGCATTTCATTTGGGAAAGGTTTTCCTATGTAACTGCTTCTGGTAACCACCGTCCTAGAGGTTTAAACCAAACCAAAGTCTCATGAGTGTGGTGATAATCTTGGCCTTCAACAGATTCCCATGTAACTGAATTCTGTGACATTCATTTGAGCCATTCCTCTCAACTCTTACCAGTTGATACTTGGTTTTTAAAAAGAAAGAGTAAAAGCAACTATTGTGAATTTAAGGACTTTATCCTACTCTCAAAAAAATCCTGTTGTTCATCTCTGTATCTCATTGTATTTTGTGTGTTGCACATTCAACTTCACATTCCATTGTGTTCTGGGGTTGCATCTTTGACCAATTTAAGTCCCAGTGATATCCCCTCACTCTACCAATTCTTTCTTCTAGGAGAATGATATTAACTTGACCCACATTGAGTCCAGACCTTCTCGTTTAAAAAAAGATGAGTATGAATTTTTCACCTACCTGGATAAACGTAGCATGCCTGCACTTGAAGACATCATTCAAATCTTGAGGCATGACATTGGCGCCACTGTCCATGAGCTTTCCCGAGATAAGAAGAAAGACACAGGTAAGAATTAGAAGACTTTTGCAACACAAAAGATTCTATACTGTTTTCATAGAATAATGACAAAAATAATACTTTGTATATTAGAATATTTTCTATGTCTATAATAAAACATCTGAGGTTTGGTAATTTATAAAGAAAACCAGATTGTTTAGCTCAAAGTTCTGTAGACCCAGGAACATGGTGCTGAACCTGGTGAGGACAACCCTGACTACATCACACTGTTGTAGATAGCATCATGGTAGTAGCACATTCAATAGGAAGGGATTATATGGTAAAACAGGAAGCCAGGGAATCGGGAGGGGTCAGGCACACTCTTTTATAACTCACTCTCATGGGAGCCAACACATGTCCTATGACGTCTACCTTAATCTCTTCCAAAGGCAGTGTCTCCAATGACCTAACAACATTTTACAAGCCCCCTCCCCACTCCTAAAGTTCCCACTATCACAGCCTCCATGAACCCTTGGTGGGGAGGAATAAACCACATTGAAAATGTAGCTCCCTGGAAGACTGTTGGGGGATTAAGCAGGAAGATATAGATTAGGGACCTAGGTAAGTACCTGGCATATTATAGAAATATCCTAAGTGTTAATTCCCTTTCCTCAAGATATCTATTCCTTCTATTAACAGCTCTCTTTCTATTGTTGTGATTTTTATAGATTTTTTTCATTCCTGAATTAAACATGCTCTCAATCTTTATCTCCAGGGTCCTTTCTACAAGGATGCAAATTTAAGACAAGATATCTGATTATGTCCATTCCAACCAAGGGCTCTCCCCAAGTCCATCTCATAATGTGCCAATTCTGGACTTGGGATTACCTGACTCCTTGTTCCCTGGGCTTTCATTGTCACCATTCATTTGTTTATCTGTCTTTTCTATGAAATTATGAAGTCCTTGTGAACACAGAGGCGCTCCCACCTATATTTGCATCTTTGGAGTTCAGCACAATGCTCTATACAAATGTATTTATAAAGGAATGACTACAGGAGTTGTCAAGACTGGCTCTGATTTATTATTTATTTAGTGAAATGATGATCACAGCTGTCTTCTAGAAGGGAAAAGAGCAACAGAATGTAGGAATTATAATCACGGGTTTTGGCTCAGTTAAAGTCCTGCTTCTTCCACTTTCTTACTCTGAGACCCTTGATAGCTGCTCTGAAATCTGTTTCTTAGAGTGTTTTTGAGAAGATTAAATGAGATTATAGGTGCACAAAAACAGTATTTAGCACAGTATTTAGCATAGGGTTAGATAAATTATAGTGTGTGGTTTTTGTTATGATTGTGTTTAACCCAAAAAGAATACAAATAAGTTGATTGCATTTTAGGGCCCAAAGCATATCCAGATGAACTATTTTTTAATAGACCATTTTTAAGAGAAATACTATGTTTATAGAAAACTTGTGCAAAAAGCACAGAGAATTCCCCTATGTCTTCTTTTTAACCTCCCATCCCTAATCCAAGTTTCCCTATTAACCTCTTGCACTGGTGTGGTAGATTTTTTTAAGTGATGAATTAGCTTCAGTACATTACTATAACCCACAGTGCACAGTTTATATGTTGTATTGTGCTTTATGTATCATGGCTGTATCAGTTTTTGTTTTTGTTTTTGTTTTGACAGGCAGAGTTAGACAGTGAGAGAGAGAGAGAGACAGAGAGAAAGGTCTTCCTTTTTCTGTTGGTTCACCCCCTCAAGTGGCTGCTACGGCCGGCATTTGCAGCCGGCGTGCAGCGCTGATCTGAAGCCAGGAGCCAGGTGCTTCCTCCTGGTCTCCCATGCGGGTGCAGGGCCCAAGGACCTAGGCCATCCTCCACTGCACTCCCGGACCACAGCAGAGAGCTGGACTGGAAGAGGACAAACTGGGACAGAGTCCGGCGCCCCAACCAGCACTAGAACCCGGGGTGACGGCACCGCAGGCAGAGGATTAGCCTAGTGAGCCGCGGCACCGGCCATGGCTGTATCAGTTTTGAGAAATGCATAATATCATGTAGGTACCATTACAATGTCATACAAGAATGGTTTTACCCCCCTAAAAATATTCTGTGTTCCAACTGCTCATCCCTTTACTTCTACATCCTTCTTTTGGAAACCATTGGTGTTTTTGTTGTCTCCATAGTTTTTCCTTTTCTATTGATATATTTGGAATAATAGAGTATGGAATCTTTTAAGACTGGCTTCTTTTACTTCACTTAAATACAGTATGTATTTAAATACTTAAATGCAGTATGTATTTAAGTTTCCTGCATGTCTATCTGTGACTTGACAGCTCACTTCTTTCTTATGCTGAATGGTATTCCATTGTATGGATATACCACAGTCTGCTTATCCATTCATCTATGGAAGGACATCTTGGTTGTTGCCAATTTCTGGCTATTATGAGTAAAGCTGTTGTAAACATCCATGGGCAGGTTCTTGTATGGGCATAAGTTTTCAATTAATTTGGATAAATACATAAGAGTGTGATTGCTGAGATAAACTTTCTTTCATCATTTTTCTACGTAAAATCATAAGCTTCTCTCCAAAATGTTGAAAACTTATAGTCAAGAGAATTTCAGGTGCTGAATTGAATTAGTCAGTGGGTATCATGTTATAGTTAGGTAGGAGAAATATGTTCTGATATTCTATTGCACAATAGGGTAACTATAATAATAATGATGTTAGCTGGCACCGCGGCTCACTAGGCTAATCCTCTGCCTTGCGGCGCCAGCACACCGGGTTCTAGTCCTGGTTGGGGCGCCGGATTCTGTCCCAGTTGCCCCTCTTCCAGGCCAGCTCTCTGCTGTGGCCAGGGAGTGCAGTGGAGGATGGCTCAAGTGCTTGGGCCCTGCACCCCATGGGAGACCAGGATAAGCACCTGGCTCCTGCCATTGGATCAGAGTGATGCACAGGCCGCAGCGCGCTGGCCGCGGCAGCCACTGGAGGGTGAACCAACGCCAAAGGAAGACCTTTCTCTCTGTCTCTCTCTCTCACTGTCCACTCTATCAAAAAATAAAAAAAAATTAAATAATGATGTTACATTATTTAAAAAAGCTAGAAGAAAAGTTTTTGACTGTTTTCACAACAAAGAAGTGATATATGAGAAGATAGATAAGCTTAACCTGATTTGAAAATTACACACTGTGCACAGGTATTAAAATATCACATTACAGGCCGGCGCTGTGGCTCACTTGGTTAATCCTCCACTTGTGGCGCCAGCATCCCATATGGGTACCAGGTTCTAGTCCCGGTCGCTCCTCTTTCAGTACAGCTCTCTGCTGTGGCCCAGGAAGGCAGTGGGGGATGGCCCAAGTGCTTGGGCACCTGCACCCACATGGGAGACCAGGAAGAAGCACCTGACTCCTGGCTTCCGATCGGCGTAGCTCCGTTTTAGTGGCCAATTAGGGGGTGAACCAATGGAAGGAAGACCTTTCTCTCTGTCTCTCTCTCTCACTGTCTAACTCTATCTGTCAAATAAATTTTTTAAAAATCACCTTACTCCATTTATGTATATAGTTCTTATATTTCAATTAAAATAATACGTAGTATTCTAATAGCCAGAGATGCTTTAAAATGAGACAAAATTATCTTCATAGAACAGGCCACTGGACCATTTTCTAAAAGGTATCGCTAAGACTTTCCTAAGAAGTCTCTCATTTTCTGTCCTCATCTTCCTGTGGCTATAACCTAGACAAGGAAACCCACTCCCAGCTTCTGCCCTGGCTGAGAGTGGACAGCAATGCAGAAGGGCTCAGGCTTCTGGGGGCGGGCACTTAGAATTCCTCCTTGGATCAGTGCTATCTGCCTTCTTTTTCCTTCGGCCTCCCAAGCTGCTTCCCTAATGACTACCCTGTCCTGTTTTTCCGGCCACCTGCTCCCAACAGGACCTGCAGGCTCTCGGGACAAAGGGCCTGCCAGATCCTGGGGCAAGCTCTGCATTTGGTTGGAGCAGGTGGAGACCAGGCCAGCTGGGGCTCAGGGGTAGGAAATCAAAGCAATTGACAAGCAGGCGGGCCCCTTGGGGATCCAGGAAGATGTATGTAGACCAGCTGGAATGCTGGCAGCCTGGACAGGGGGCTCTGACAGGAGGTCCTTAACTGGGATACAGCACCAGTTAGAAGACTAGATCCAGGAACCAGGGCTTACCACACAGTGTGACCCTTTGCAGTTTCCCAACTGAAGCCATCAGGAGTAATAAAAATCTCTGCCTACATGGATGGCACTGGAGGACATTCTGCTGAGAATAAGCCAGCCGCAGAAAAGCAAATACTGCACGTTCTCACTCCTTCAGTGGAAGCTTAAAAGTTGATCTTATAAATGCAGAGACTGGAATAGCGATCACCATCACTAATACCGAGGGAGGAGGGGATGGAAAAAGGATGGATAACAGGTACCAAGATGTAGCTAGATAGGATAGTTCTGGTGTTCTGTAGCACAGTTGAGTGACTAGTATAACAATTTATTGTATATTTCAAAATAACTAGAAGAGTATAAGGTTTCTCAGCCCTAGAAGTGGTGAGTGAGCAAATGGAAGTAATTAATTGCCTTGATTTTATCATCATACATTGTACACATGGATCAAATGATCATGCTGTACCCCATAAAAATGTACAAAAATGATGTGTCAGTTGAAAACTGTTAAAAAAAGAGTCTTTGCCTGTTTGGATTATTGAAGTCACCCAAGTGAAACACTGGCAGCAGAGAACAGCATGTTTAAGCTCGGTGATGTTCCCTGTTCCTAGCATTGTCATCATTGTTGCAAGTCCTGGCAGGGGCACTGGAGCCACAGAAAGCCAGCCTGCACACAACTGCGTCTTCAGAGATTCCGAGAACTGAAAATGACCTCAGAGGTCATGCAGCCTCACAGATGCCTTAATTTTCAATTGTGGAAACAGAGGCTATGACTTGCCTTAAGGCAGAGGGTGAATTCTGTGTGGTCATAGGCAGAATGTGGCAAGAATGTGCTGAGTGCTGCTCTGTGCTGGGCGCTGTGCTACGAGCTGGAGACAGAACTGCCTGCTCTAG